GCAGCTGGCAGTGTGGGCGAGCCTGGGAGTGTATGTGACCCTTCGCTGGAGTCAGCGTATTCTTCTGGGTAGTAACGAGGAGCGGGTTGCCCCTGGCTGGGCCCTTTTCCTTTGGCCCCTTGCTGTGTGCCTCAGATCCTGCAAGTTTTGTCCTTTTTTTTTTTACAATTTTTTAAAAAATTTATGCATACAGAACTGGGGTACAGGCCAGAGGTGCAGGGGTGGTGAGAGGACTCCTCAGAGACAGAGCGAGGAGCAGAACAGGAGGATCAACGAAGTCCACCGCTGAGGGGAGCAGCGGGCGGGTCAGGAGAGTCTGCCGATACCTGTGGTCACCTCCGGGGCGGGGATCAAACTCATGGTGAAGCGACTTTAGCTTCTTAGTGCTGTGCTGTAACCTGCTGCGCCACCAGAGAGGGCCTCTTCCCTGTATTTTATGGTTTCAGATCTTACATTCAAGGTTTTTTTTTTTTTTTTTTTTATCCATTTTGAGTTGGGTTTTGTGGATGATGCCAGGTAGTAACCTAGTTTCATTCTTCTGCATGTAGCGGTCTCGTTTTCCCGGCACCGTGTATTGAAAGATTCGCCTCGTTTCAGGGCACGCTCTTTGCTGCTTTGTCATAGATTAGTTGACCATAAATGCGTGACTTGACTTAAGGGTTTTCAACTCTATTCTATTGGTCTGTTCTATGAGTTTTCTGGATTTGTGTTTTGGTGTCTGATTTTGGAAGAAATTTGGCCATTTTTTCTAGTAATACTTCCCCCCCTTCTTTTTCCCCTAAACTTTTACCTATATTGTACTTTTGACACCATCCAACACTTTATTTGTTCTTTTGTATACATATTATGTTATTTGTGTGTGTGTGTGTGTGTGTTTCATAATCTTGCACTGATCAGTCTTCATGCTTGTTGGTTCTCTCCCAAGTCATGTTGGGTATCCTGATGTGCCAATCTAAGTCTATTTTATTTCTGTTACAATATTTTATGTTTGAAGGATACTTTTGATCATGTATTCTTGTCGACTCTGAAAATTTCCATCTTCTTCCTTGTTCAATCTGTGTTCTTCAGTTATGTTTTACCCTTGTGAGTTATGACATATTTCCTATAGTCAAAGAAAAAAAACCTTTGTGTAATAATTCCAAATCTGTATCATAGCTGAGTCTTGCTTCAATGTGCCGTGAGAGCCGCACAGGCAGGTGGAGGAAGCACACTGTGAGGGGGCAGCGGGGAGACAGGCGGGGTCTGCCGCGCCCTGGGGGTCGCCTCTAGGGTCAGGGATTGAGCTCGCATTGCAGGGCTGAGGCCAGCTTCTCAGTGCTGTGCTCCAACCCGCTGTGCCACCAGGGAGGGTCTGTAGTTAACATTTCTTGCGAGACCAGTCTGAGTTTATTTCACAATTGCTGTCTGTGCGCAGAAGAGCCAGGAACGACTCCCCTCCCTCTTCAGCTGGTCACCCCGGCTGGGATCCTGGCCTGGTCCCTTTAAAATGCTGCTCCCGCCACCACCCAGGCACTCCCTGACTGGGCCCCAGAGGCTTTTTGCTTTCAAGGGCTGCTCGGCCAGCAGGGGAAGGACGGAGTGTGAAGTGTTCTCCCCCGTGCGGGCCTGTGGGGCTGCTCTGACACGACAGAACGAGGCTGGGCTGTCTGCATTTGCCTCTCTCTAGATACAGCGTTTTGTTCATCCTGAGACAGCAAATCTCTGATCGTTTAATGAAAAGTCAGTCGCTTTCCTCTGGGGCCAGTATTTCCTATGGGAAGTGCAGGTATAGTCACTTGACGACCCAAATGCTTCTCATTAGAAATACAATTTTTTTTTTTTTTACTGAGGAAAAAGCTCACATTGAATATCTACTCACTCTTGAATGCTCATCGCTTGACAAATAGTGTCCCCTGAGGTGGGGACGGCATGTTTTTGTGAGACAGCTGCAGGCGTTCTTGTGGGTCATGGGGCACCGGGGGTTCGTCTCCGTGCTTTACCTCAGGGACCAAGTGCAGATGGGGACGGCCCCTCGGAGGCTGCCTGGGGGGCAGCAGATGAGCCGCGGACTCTCGAGGCAGTGCACCCAGGTGTGTAACCTTCGTTCACTGTGCCGCCGAGGCTGGGCGGACTCGGACTTACCCGCAGCCTTTCCGAGCAGCACTGGTCTCGCTCCTTGCAGTGAGCAGGCGTGTTTTCCTAGGAGTCTGTTGGAGACGTGTGCTTTTACTCCTCAGCGGGTGACAAGAGGATGCTCTAGGCCAGTGGAAAAGGTGGGAAACCTCAGCCAAACTCAGTGCAAGGCAGCCTGGAAACTCATAAAATTCCTTGACGCATTCTACTGAGTCAGGATAAGGTGTCGAGTGGGTGGCTGCCGGCATTTTATTGCTTTACGTCAGCTACTATTATATAACAGGCAATTTTGACAACTTGGCTTCCCATTCAAAAAGGCCTGATCCCCAGCTCCAAGGTGGACAGTGTTAGCTTGATGTGGGGAGACAGGGAGGTGTTGCGGGCCATGGGTCTGGCTCCACTGGGGGTGTCTTTCCGTAAGCTGGGGGGCCCAGGCTCCTTTAAGGGCGCTGTAACTTGCGCCCTTCCCAGAAATACAGCAACTGTGTTCTTTTGGTGGATTTTGCTGCTATTCATGGCCCTCAGTTACCAAAGATAGGTTTCTTCCCAGAAGGTAATTGAGGAGAGTCATCTCCAAGTCAATGTTTACCACTGGTGAATATCTGAATGACTTCTTGCAAATCCTTTCATTTCTCGGGTTGCCCACTGTTTTAAACACTATGAGTAAAACGTAATTATACAAAAATCTCCCTAAGACCGACACTGGGATGTTTGCTTGCTTGTTTGGAAACGTTGAGGGTAGTATGTAGCAGGTAATAATGGGATTCAAGAACAGGCATTTTAGAAAAAAACAAGGGAAATTTCTGTATAATTTCTTTTAAGAAAATATTCAGACGTGTCACTGACTCAATGCTTTTTCTCTCTTTCATAACTGAGATATCCGGCAACTGCCCTTGAACAGCAAAGGACATTGATAGAGCTTTATGATTTCATGAAAAAATCCCCATATCGGTGATCTTGGAATCCTGCCGTGTGGGCTCCGGATCGAGGGCGTCTGTGTGGGGACCAGCGGTGCTGCGGCCGCAGGGCGGCGCGGCGGGCGCTGCGGGTGTGTGGCCTCCCGGCCCGCGGGCTCCGGGCCTTTCCGATACTGTGAGCGGCACGACCGCGCCTGCCCGCGTCAGCTCTTCTCTGTTGCCTTCAGCGACGCGTGTTTTCACGTGGCTAAATGCAGCTTTCTAGCGACCAGCCTCCTGCGTCCTTGAAACTGGTCAGTGCTGGACGTGGTGTTGCCCTCGGGGAGCGGTTGAAGCAGTCAGGAACTTAGCCCCGCGCTCTGCACCCGTCGGGGGCTGCCGAAGCCCCCTGAGGCTGCGTCTTCCAGCTGTCGCTGTCGCTTGGGCTCTCTTTGGACCGCGGCAGGGGGGCAGGAAGCGGCGCAGGCGCCACGCGGGGCTCCCCGCCGGACGCTGCCGAGCTCCCCAGGTAGGAGAACGGTTTCCCGCGGGCTGGGGCCTGGAGTTCCGCTCTCACTGCGGTCACGGGCGCACGTCTTTGTGCACACTGGCACGCGCCAAGCCTGTTCCTCAGAGACTCCCTTCGCAGGCTGCAGCGAGTCGCGTCTGGGCGAGCGCGCGGCCCCCAGCAACAGCGGCGCTCGCGAGTGACCGCTGCCGCGCGGCCATTTCTGATAAGACAGGTCACCGACACGCTCAGTGCATGAATTACAGCTTCTTGTATGGAATAGTCTGGTTTTCGGTTTAGCGCTTACCTAAATATGCCTTTAAAGGAGCTTCTTGGAGGAGCAGTTTGTCCTCAGAGCAGAGTTCTGGACGGAGCTGCAATTCCTCTGGAAACCGCCTGGCCCCCTATAACCTCCCCTGTGGGAGCGGCGAGAGCGCGGGCAGCTGCCGGTCGCCTCTGAGACGCCGCTCGCCCGCCTCAGCTCCTCTGCGCTCTGAGCCGGCCGCGGCCTCGCGCCGGGGTGTCGACGCGACGAGCCGCACCGCAGCCGTCGTAGCTCCGCGGACTTTGGCTAATTGCCTGGGAGTTTCCGTCCCTAAAAAACGTTGACAGAAAATGTGTACACACATATACGTTTCGCCCAGCAAGAATGATGCCATTCCCCGTCGGCGGCTCTGTCTTTGGCGGCCTCTTTTCAAATTAATTTAGTCACCGATTTTCGCGTCTCTGCTCCTGTGTGCGCTATGCTCCATTTCTCCCCTCAGAGGCTGTCCCCATGCGATTGCGACCCCTCAGCCGGCCCCACCGGCTTGCCGTCGTCCCTCTGTCTTGACCCCTTCCCCTTCCCGGCCTGAGGACCAGCTCCAGTTTATACTTCCACTGCCACTTTGGCCACTCTCGCCCGACCCCACCCCTTTCTTCGTCTCCCTGTTCCACCATCTGATATTTTTCTTTTTTCTCCTGACTGATCTCACTAACCACAGATAATCCCTCCCATCTCCACTGGCTTTGCTTCAGCGGCCTGAGTTTCTATTTTTCCCACTGTTGGCTCGTGTTCCGGGTGGACATAGCACCCCCTTGTGACCCAGTCATCAGTGGGGGGCGTCTGGGTCCTCTGCGTGTTTCAGCTGTTGTACATAGTGCTGCGATGAACATGGGGGCACGTACCCTTTTGAGTTAATGTTTTTGATTTAATGTGTCCTTTTGGAAGGTTCCTAAGAGTGTGACTGATCCATTTTTAGTAACTAGAGGGGCCACACCACTTTCCACAGTGGCTGGACCAATTTGCATTCCCATTAGGTGTTCTCTTAACCATCAGTAAGGGCTGGTAAAAGGCAAGTTATTTACTAAACTTAAAAGCTTAAGGGAAGTAACGAGACTTTAGGTGTTAGAAAGCGATGCATGATTATTACATAAAACCACATAGAAACTGTGAATACAAAACTTTTGAATCTATCTCCAAGGTTACAAGTTACAACCCCAGCATGTCCTGGCTGAGCAACCAGACCTCGGGCGGCGACTTCGTCCTCCTGGATCTGTTCCGTGTCACCCCGGTGCCCTGGGTCCTGTTCACACTCACGGTGCTGGTCCTCCTGGTGGCCCTGCTGGGCAACTCCGTGATAATCATCCTCATCTGGGCCGACCCTCTTCTCCACACGCCCATGTACTTTCTGCTCAGCCAGCTGTCCCTCATGGACCTCCTCTACATCTCCACGTTTGTCCCCAAGATGGCCCTGGTCTTTCTGTCTGGGGACCGTCGCATCTCCTTCATTGGGTGTAGCCTCCAGATGTTCCTTTTCTATGTCCTTGTTGGCTCCGAGTGCCTGCTGCTGGCCGTGATGGCCTATGACCGCTACGTGGCCATCTGCCAGCCTCTGCGCTACCCCGTCCTCATGCGTCCCCGGGTCTGTGCGCTCCTGGTGCTGGTGACCTGGCTGGGTGCGTTCTTCAACGCCTTGATCCATGTGGCCTACACTCTGACTCTCCCTTTCTGCGCCTCCAGGGAAATCCATCACTTCTTCTGTGAGATCCCAGCGCTCCTGAAAGTGGCCTGTGCTGACACTTCCCAGTATGAAAAGGGTGTTTTTGTCAGTGGTGTGATTTTTTTCCTCCCTCCCATCTCAGCCATTCTGGGCTCCTACGGCAGCATACTGTCCACCGTGCTGGGCATGGGGTCAGGCCAGGCTCTTAGGAAAACCTTGGGTACCTGCTCTTCGCACATGACTGTGGTGTTGCTGTTCTACGGGGCTGCCATCACCAAGTACCTTCTGCCAAAGTCCTACCACTCCTCTGGGCAGGAAGAAGTGGTCTCCGTGTTCTACACCATCATAACCCCCATGCTCAACCCGCTCATCTCCAGCCTGCGAAACAAGGACGTCACTAGAGCTTTCAGGAACGTTTTCAGGGTGTGAGGAATGTGAAGTGTGTATCAGCTGTAAATGTGTAGGAGTTGTGCATTTTCTCTGAGATGGAATATGAAATATTTATGTATGCACATTCATCATGTGCCTTTTTTGCATACTGCATATATGTGAGAAATACAACATAGATCAAATATTTATCTTGTACCAATGGCAATACATAAATATGGTCAAATATACCTGGTGCTCAATGGCAGTGTCAGTGGGGATATTGATTATTAATGGAATATATTAGTATTTTTGTTCCTTTATTTTTTGCACCTTTGATTATCATATTGGCAAGCAATGCCTTCAAATAGTGCTAGAATTTGTTTTACTAGGAATTTTGTAATCTTCTAAAAGTACAAGTGTAAATGAGTCACTGAATATTTACATAGATAGTTTCAAAGAAAATTTCCTAAGATAATCCTTGCTTTAAAACTAGACATAATTTTATTGAATAAATATTGATTTATTCATTATATGTTTCAATTTGCTTTCATTAAATAACATGGACATTTTTTTGTGAGCCATAGTTGCTACAATAATTGGATTCAAGTATATAACCTAATGCTTCAATACTTTTATGAATAGTGAATTGGCCTAAAAGTTCTCTTGCCTACTCCCACCGCACAGTGCTGCTTTAGGGTTACCCTCAGTTCCTCTCACCCCAAATCCCCACACCTCTTTTAACCACTGTTAGTTCTTAGCGTCTGTGAATTGCATTTTGTTCAGATTCCTCATGTAAGTGCAAGATTAATACGTCCATATTTTCTGTCTAATCTCAGTCTTGACTTTTTTATTTGGATCGCATGGTCCTCAGATGCGGCAGGCGACATCCAGCTCAGTTTTGACTTGCATCTCCCTAAGGTTGAGCAAATCGCGTCTGCACGCAGTTGCTGGCAACGAGTGCATCTGGGGCAGCCTTCCCTTGGTCAGGCCCTGCATCGGCTGGCTCGTGCTTTCTGATTAAGCTTTGTGAGTGCTTTGTGTATTTCAGCATTAACCCCTCACAGATATAGACTCAAAGTGTTAGGGTCCGAAATCACCTGGTTGTCCCCCGCGACAAAGAACAGGACCACAGATGCACAAGCAAGCAGAGTTTATTAAGCCAGCTAGCTGGGGTCGAGCCCTCCTGCAGGCATGCGGGCCACACAGGGAGAGCAAGCACTCAAGGATGGTTTCTCAGAACAGATGTCTCAGTCATGAGTCAGGAGCTGAGATCAGGGTCTAGTTTCAGCCAGTTCCAGGAGCTGGCACCAGGAATGCTGTCTGCCTGCCCTCCGTTCTGGGCCCAGGGTGAGTCAGAGACCCAGACCGAGGGGCCTAGGGGCTAACATTCCCCCCCGCCCCTTTTCTCTCCTTCAGTCGTTACCCTCATCCTGTTCTTTGCTGTGTAGAAGGTTTTTCCTCTGAGGTAGTCCCATACTTCCATTTTCTGTCATCGCCTATCTTTGGGGTCATTGACAGGAATCCAACACTAGAGCTAGGACTAGCTTACCAACTGTGTTACTTCAAGGAGTCTTAGGGTGCCATGTAGCACCTTCAGAACCTCCCTCCAATGTGAGTCATTTATTGTGAGGGGTTGAGGTACTGGTGTAGTTTCATTTCCTCCCGCGTTGGGCCCGTTTTCCCAGCGCCACGAAAGACGCGCCGCCTCCGCCAGGCACGAGCGGTCGGGCCGGTCGGCGCAGCAGGTCAGTGGGTGAGCGGAGGGGCGGGGTGCGGCGTCAGACGCATGCGTGTCTGTTTCCACGCAAACTGACTCCTGATCACGCTAGCTGTGTGTTGTGCGTTGTTTCCACTGATTGAAACATGGCGCTTGCCGCCTCCAGATTTCTTCCTTTTTTTCTCATGATTGTTGCAACTTTGGGCACCTTTGCTCCATACGACTTTTAGTAATTTTTGTACTGTTTCTGTGAATAATGGCATTGGAATTTTGATGGCCATTGCATTACATTGGCATATTGCTTTGGTTATGTGGGTATTTGCCAATGCTGAATCTCCCAGTCCATGAATATAAAGATTTTTTTTCATTGATTTGTAGTCTCAATTTATCAATGTTGTCCAGATTTTGTGGACAGATGTTTCACTTCCTTGATTAAATTCATTTCACAGTATTTTACTCTTTTTGAAAGTATTGCTTTTGTGACACTTTCCTAATTTATTTTCTGATTGTTATATGGAGGCTCTACTGAATTTCGTGTATTGATTTTACAACTTTATTGTATTTGTTTACTCATTTTGACAGTGTTTGGTGGATTCTTTAGGACTTCCTAAATATAAAACCCTATCATCCCAACATAGTGGCGCTGTTATTTCTTACTTTCCAGTTTAAATGCCTTTCTGTCTTTTCCTTGATTAACTGTTCTAGCAAGTACTTCCAATACTATGTTGATACAGGTGGGGAGAGTGGGTGGTGGTGACTTAATCCTGATCCTGTTGGAAAAACTTTCAGCTTTTTACTATTGAGTATGACGCTGATTTGTGCTTTATTATGTGGATGTATTTATTACGTGGATGTATTTTCCCTCCACACCCCGTTTCTTGAGTTTTTTTTTTTTCCATAAGACTCAATGTCATCAAATGATTTTTCTGCATTTATACGGGTGCACATAAGATTTTAATCCTTCATTGAGAGATGTTGAGCCATCCTCGGATTCCTGGAATACATGAAAAAAAAAATTGTGTGTAAGTATTTCATACCACTGTGAGTTGCATTTACTAATATGTTGAGGATTTTTGAATCTGTGTTCGTCAAGATTAATTACCTGTAGTTTTTTGTTTTACGCCAGGGCAATACTGACATAGTAGTGTGATTTTGGAGCAGTTTTGAGAAGGATATGTATTGGACCTTGGGTATAATTTACCAGTGAAGTAGTTGGCTTTTATTTTGGGGGAGGTTTTTGATTACAACTTCAAAATCCTTACTAATAATAAGTCTACTCTGATTCTCTGCCTCTTCACGATTCAGTCATGAGATTCTTCGTGATTCTAAAACTAGATCTGCTTCATCTACGTTTTCCAGCTTGTTGCCAGCTATGTGTTCTAGTAGCCTCTTACGGACCTTTGTGCTTCTCAGGTGTTCATTTTGACTTCCCCGTTTTTTATTTTATTTACTTATGCCCTCTCTCTTTTATTTTTTTTTTTTACTGAGTCTAGATATAGGTTTTCCAGTTTGATTTCAAAAATGCTGTTCATAACTTCATTTAACTTTTCTATTATCATTTCAGCCTGTGCCATTTATTGATACTCTGATATATATTTCCATTATTTTATTCACTTTGCACGTTGCTTGTGCTTTTTCTAGTTCCTTTTTGTAGATAGCTGATGTTTTGGATATGTTTGTGGTTTTTGATGAAGGCCTGCATTGTTCTACTTTTCCCTTAGAGACAACTTTGCTGCAGTCTGTATAGTTTGGTATATTGTATTTCCATTTGTTTTTCTCTGCAAATCTGTGTGTATAACTTTGCCTTTGACATTGTCATGGACTGAATAGTTGTTCATGCATATTGTTTGTTCTTCAAGTTTTGTGATTTTTCTAGTTTTGTGTTTGTACTCAGTTTCATGTTTCATGCAGTGGTAGTTGGCAAAGATGCTCAATGTGATTGCAATTCTATTAATTTAATATATTCCCTTTTATGCTCTAAATTTCTTTTAAGTCGGTGTGGTCTAATGTACCATATAAGGCCAATATGTCCTTATTATGTGTAGGTGATGTGCCCATGATGTAAGTGGGTTACTAATATTGCCTAAATTATTGTATTGTCAATTTGTTTTTAGGTTTGTTAATATTTGCATTATATATTTTGGTTATGTTTGAGGTTGAAAATATATTAGGACATTACATATTCTTGTTGGTTCAGCCCTATATATCAACATATACTGTTCTTTGGATTTTTATGGTCTTAGTTTCAGTGTCTATGTTTTTGGTATGAATACAGTTCTACCAACATTCTGCTCACTTGCAACTGCATTTACCTCTCCCTCCCTTATGTCTCTGTGTCCTTACACCTGAAGTGTGTCTTTTGTGGGCAGCAAATAGCTGAGTGGTGTCTCTTATCCATTCAGCCACTCCATGTCTTTTGAAAGTATAATTGCCATTTACATTTAAAGTGATTGCTGTAGGTGTGTACTTATTTCCATTTACTTTGTTGTTTTCTGGCTGTCTTTTAGTTCCTCTCTGATTTTTTTTTTTGCCCTATTCCTTTGCAAATGGATAGATTTCTTATTTTGCAAGCAACAAGTTTGAAATATAAACTTTGTTAATATCCACTCCACCCTTTGAGCTCACACCTCTTGAGGTGCACTTTCTGACTAGAGAAGCACACCCCTGTGAGATGGCTCCGCCTGTCCTCGGGGTGGTGGAGGACAGGGACATCATTGCCGCCACTTTACCTGAAGGGCCAACCTCACATGGGGCCGCCCCTCTGAGGAATGCCCGAGGAGCAGTAAATAGGCCTTGGGCTGCTGCAGCAACAGGGGCAGCTATTAAGCTCTTTGCCCAGGCAGTCTGCGTTTCTGATGCTGCGAGACATTAGACAGTTGTCAACAACCCGTCGTAAGCAGGACTGCTTGTTCCCTATGCGTAAGTAGGAGCTTTTCTCCGGAAATGTGTTTAAGAGGTGTGTTCTGATCACCCAGCTGCCTAACATAGAAGCGCTAACCTGG